CCCCTTTGGGGGGCCCAGAGACTAAACCCCTTATATCAAGTGAGAGTACGTCACCGAGGTCCCTGCCGGGGAGACCGGAGTCCCGGGGGGGCACCCTGCCCATACCCATGGGCCCGGTGGGACACTCTGGCCAACCTGGTAGGATCCAAGAGGACATCGGCTGCGCATTCCCTGGCTTGGACAATGAGCGACCGTGGTGTGTGCTGATCCAAGGTGGGGAGAGGGGTCGAGAAACGGTGGTAAACATCCACCGATTGAAAACCTAGAAGGCGATCCCTGCCAGGGAGGCGCCCGCCTCTCGGGTGCCCCAAAACCCCAAACCCCCAATGCTTCTCATACCTGACGGCTTCACTCAATACATGGGCCCCGCTAGGCCCAAGCCCCCAGCGGGCCTAGGCCCAGCAAAGAGGTGGGCACGGCGGCACCTAAACCCCTCATACGTGAGTTTGTTCCCCAGACAGGTGACATCGCGACCCCCTCCCCCCCATACTAAATACACACACCTCACACACATATAGTGTCCTTACATCGCAGCACCCCTGAATTAGTTTTAGCATAACAATGTAAACCCTCCCAGATTGGCTACGATAAATTAACATTCGGTGGGGTAAAGAAGGCAGGGCAAGGGGGCATGCACTAGTAGCATCAGAGGGATCCGTGGGAGGGGCGACTTAAACCCCTGGGGAGCGTGCGATTGGCCGCACGCAATCACGTGACCCGGTCCTCGGGGTCGAATATAAAGAGGGCCCTGGGGGCGGTAAAGGGAGAACTCATTTTTGAGGGTGCCCAGGAGAAGTCGCGAGCCCCTTCTCTCCTCGATTGACAGCGTCCTTGAGATGCCGACGGTTGCAGTTGTGAGATACGTAGAGAGCACAGGGTATGTTGATTCGGTCGGCAGAGTTAGCCCCACCGCTTTCCACTGCCGAGTAACACCAGTGAGATTGCTGGTTTTTATAGCCCTGTGTTAGCACGGATTGCATGTAGCGTGGTGTTTGCGCTTTCCGTGTGGAGCGACCACGTGTAAGTCCTTTGTGGCGGTGGGTGACCGTGCAGGGAGGGTGAACGCGTGGTGGTGATCGCCTGGTAGCTACCACGTGTACGTGAGGGAGTTAATTGTGTGGGTGGTTGAGCGTCAGGTGGACATTTTGCATCAGCAGCCATTTTGCATCGGCTGCCACGCAGACTTGCTAAGTCGCCGTACGAGTGACCATGTGCTTGCCCGCCATTTTTAACCAGCTGCGGTGGGTGCGTGGACAGTCATTGTGCAGGTGGCAGCGCGTTTCACGCCCTTTTGCTAGCAGCAGCTGCTGTGTGCGCGGGCGTGTGTTTTAACTCCATGCAGCCCCGGCCAACAATAGAGCATGTCTCTTAGGGACGGCGCTAACAAAGGGGACCGAGTTACTTTATGGGCGGGTGACAGGCAAGAGCAGCCCGACGTGGTGGCGGAGGGGGAGGAACGGGCGGATGTTGCGCCCCACACAGCATCCTTCATGAGCCTCCTCCTCCACAGAGGCCGATCTTGATGTTGCGCACTCGAAATGAAGGACGTGGGCAGGTGCTCCAAATCGAGGGCAAACACATTTATTGTGGTAATCTGTAAAGTGCAACAGCATGCGTATAACACAGCAGTTTCCAACCGAGTCACCATTAACCACGTGACTGGTGTACAGGTCAGGTTACTCAATAACAGTTTCCCTTAAACCCATTCTACTATTGAAAACCCATCTTTGTCTTTAATCATAAACTTTACATTTCACTATTCGAATATTACTTTAATCCTAAGCTGTATGTATATCTATACGATGCACTTAAATTAATATCTTACACCGATTATTGTACTGTATATGTATTGTACTTGTCACCATTGTACAAATTCTGTACATGTGTTCTATTATTAAAAGCATTGCAAGTAGTCATACTCTGTGTGCATGGGCATGGTTATAGAATAAACAGTATTAGGGTTAGAGAATTACCAGTATTAACTACAGTATGTCATCCTTTATCGTGTAGAGTGCTAAACCCCCTCCTATTGAACATATCACAAACTACCAATTCAAAGCCAAGCTTGAAGACTATAACATTTGTCTATCAAAAACAATATTTGGGTCCTTTACCTGTGTAGTGACATAGAATCGGTCACTTCGCAGCATAGCGCTTGTTGCTGGCAGGGAAGGGGACCTGCAGTTACAGCAGCCCTGACTGATAGCAGGTCACGTGATAAACCAGAGAGAGGGATGTAGGGGAAAGGTTACAGAAGGGGCACGTGGGAGAAGCCCGGGAACCCGCGAGTAGGTTCTAGAGAGGGGGCGGAGCAAGGCCACGCTGAGAGGATAAAAGGGGGCCTTGAGCGAGAGTTCAGGGCTGTCATTTGGAGTGGGATCCCGTCGTGCTGCTGGAGGCTTCGTCATCGTCACCGTCTTCACCATCTCGGCGTCGTCAGTCAGGCAGTCTGCCAGCTGCCCAGACTGGCAACCGTAGTTACTAAAGTGTGGACTGTTAAGGCTGTTAATAAACAGAATGCCTCTACTCTTAATGTCTCTGATTCAGTCACTACACCTGTAAAATGCAACAGCACGTCTATCACACACAGCAGTTTCCAAATGAGTTCCTATTAACCACGTGACCTGTGTACAGGCGAGGTTACTCAATATCCCTGCCAGTCACCTACAGGCCCAACTCAGTATCGCATGCTGGTGTACACATGCGCATTGATGCCCTGCACAGCACATAAGGACCTTCACAAAACCGCACTTTACTCCATTGCTGCACGAGGAAATAATTCAAAGAGTGGTCCATTCCTAATGTTCCACATTGACACCGCTAGTACTCACAAAAGCACACACACAGCGACTACAGGATTATAAGACGCTACCTCCAAACTTGTTTTCTTTAAAATCACAGAGGGATCACCTTCAGAAAAGTCCCTGTTGAGGTTGAAACCTTTAGGCCTTTACAGGGAGGCAAATACATTATTCCAAATGTTCAATGTTATGGCAAAGCTCTTGAGCATCTTAAGTGCAGAACTAAGAGGCAGGGAGGAAGCTTTCCATCAAACATGCAACCGCTTCACTAACTCTCCTCCAGTGTGCATTGATTCTTAAGAGCTTTCATAAGAGCATTTAGGCACTCCTGCCCTCTCCTTTTCTTCTTGTTCTTCATGGGTATCAGAGCTTAGGAAGACACCAGAGTTGTAGAATGTATTCAACAGTTTATTTAAACATGCGGTTTGGACAGGTTTCCATTGCACTGAAAATCCGCAAGGTGTGTCGTGCTGATGTCAACCTCACTTTCATATCCCTGTGTTGTGTACTTGCATTATTTTGTTAATAAAAAATACTTTTGAGAGCTGCGTCTATATTCAGGAACGCAGGTAATGAGTGAAGCTGGACCCCAGATTGAGGTACGGAGAAGAATAAGTATAACCCGTAAAAACAAAGTATTTCACTATAAATCCTTTATATGCGTGGCGACTAGAGTCCTCTCGTCCTCTGGCTTGAGATGGCTGCCACCTATGGGTCAGATGATTGTCTGCGTATTAAACAATTGGTAATTAAATATTTAATTTGTTTTCCCTAAACAGTGTAAAATTTAGGAAACATTTTTTTTCACGAACATTAATTGTCACGCACAACGAGTCTGTGTGCAAAATGTCAGCTCGATTGGATCACGGGAAGTGGGTTAAAAAACGACCGAAAGGTTTGCACGGTCGTAAGCAAGCAAGCACGCAAGCAAGCAAGCGAACTTAATATAAAGGATTTAATAAAGGATTTAAAAAGGGTTGCGCATCGAAGAAGACGACGTTGATGATGCTTGCAGGCAGTGATGCATAGCTGTCAACCCATAGGGTTTACCCCGTATTCTTGTACAAGGAAATTGAGTTTTAAGGTCCATACAGCGTACAGCCGTTTCAATATGGGCAAAACATGTCTGTATTTCTCTTTTGTGATGGGACTTTGCATGATTAACGTTGAGATTTATTCGAGGCACGGGGTGACCAATAAGGTCTGAATTAAGTCTAATAAGGTAGGCACTGATAAGGGGTTGACAGGTATGTTGATGAGAAGGAAACTTTCCACTATTTTAACACATGTAGGCTGGACTACAATGGGAAAATTAAAAGTGTGTTATTGTTCGGAAAAAAAAAAACCCGAAAGGAACCGGAAATAGCGAATGACCTAACAGAGAATAGCTTGACGACAACATAAGAATTAGAACATGTAAGAGCCGAATGGCTCACAGGGCTATACCTAATAAATGAACTTGAACTTGATGTGGCACTACTTGAGCTTATTGGCACTCCAAACAAGACAGCGAAAAAAGCGGAGAAACATCACGGGCGAATTTCGACTTAAAGCTTTCGTGACTGCAGGGATTCATCTTCTTGGTTCTTTCGGTAAAGTCACGTAGAAGGGAAGTAATAAAATAATACAAATAAAACATAATAAAATAATTCTCACGACGTTTCGGCCACAACGCAAGCAGCCGTCCTCAGGTGAAGAATGAAACACCACCAAGCTTGGAGCGTACATTTATGCTGGGTTGGAGGGGGGGGGAGGTGGGAAGAAGAGCGCCTAGACAAAATAATTTGCATATCAAGAGGACGCTCCAAGCTTGGTGGTGTTTCATTCTTCACCTGAGGACGGCTGCTTGCGTTGTGGCCGAAACGTCGTGAGAATTATTTTATTATGTTTTATTTTTATTATTTTATTATTTCCCTTCTACGTGACTTCACCTGAGGACGGCTGCTTGCGTTGTGGCCGAAACGTCGTGAGAATTATTTTATTATGTTTTATTTTTATTATTTTATTACTTCTCTTCTACGTGATGACTTTACCGAAAGAACCAAGAAGATGAATCACGGGCGAAGTGCCCTCGTGCGGGATCGTGACGACATCAATGACGTCACAACCCCGAACACAAATCCTTCGCGATGACGTCATTTCTCGATAGCGTTCGTCGTGCGTTTGGAGACGTGACGTCACTTTCTAATTTCCGGCGGCCGTCTCGGTCACTTGCGTCTCTGTCGCCCTGTGTGCGAGGGGTAGGCTGTTGTTGTTTGTGGGCTTCCCATTCATTTAAACGACAATTATCGTACGCAGTCTCTGTCAATAGACAACGTTGCAGCAAACTTGCAACGTTGGTGCGGTGGGCAGGGCGGCGATGACGACCCGCTCGGAGAGGGAGAAGGCTCAGAAGCTGAACGAGCAGCACCAGGCCATCCTGGCGGCCCTGCTGCGGCAGGAGGACAACAAGTACTGTGCCGACTGCGAGGCCAAAGGCGAGGCCGACACGCCCCACACGCACAGCACACACACAGCATACACACCATACACACACCACACACACACTGTCCATATACGCCACACAAACCATACACACACCACACACACAGCATACACACCACACGCACACCACACACACACCATACACCCCACACACACCATACACACCATACACACCACACACCATACAAACCACACACATCACACGCACACCATACACCCCACACACCATACACCCCACACACCATACACACCACATACACCACACGCACACCATACACACACACACACCATACACACACCATACACACACACCATCATACACACACCACACGCACGCCATACACACCACACACACCACACACACACCCCACATACACCACACACACCACACGCACACTGTCCATATACGCCACACAAACACAAACCATACACACAGCACACACACCACTCATGAGGCCCCTGTCAAAGGTGTGCGGGCTAGATTAGAGGCACCACCTACGTTCGTTTTGCGCCGGTGGGTTCATTGACATTAACATCCGGCTTGGATTAAATTACAATGGGTTCATGTGTCATGGCTTTACGTGTCATTGCTTGATGTGGCTTTGGGTTAATTTACTATGGGTTCATGTGTCATCAGTTTATGCGGTTTGGGTTCATTTACCATGGGTTAGTTGATCATGTATGGGTTCACGTGTGACGGGTTCATGTGGCATTGGTTAGTTGATCATGGGGTCAATGTGTCAGTTTCATTTACTATGGGTTTGTCACGTTTGAATCTTATCACGTGTTCATAAGTCATTGGTTAATTTACATTAAGTTAGTGTGACATGTGTTCGTGTGTCATGGAATAATTTGACATGGGCTCATTATTGGTTCATGTGTTAATGGATTCATCCGTCATGGTTTTTATTTTATTTACCATGGTTTCATTTGCGATTGATTAGTGTGCTTTAGCTTCATGTGTGATCGGTTAATATATCGTGTTTTAATTTACCCTAAGTTTATTTGCCGTGGTTAATCTGTTATGGGTGCATGTGTCGTTGGCTCATGTGTTGACTGGGTAATTTGCAATGAGTCATCTGTCAGGGTCTAAATTATCGCGGTTTATTTTCTATTGGTTGATATGTTTTGGGTTCACGTGTCTTGATCCGAGTTCGTGGCACTGTGATTAGAGTGCTGAACTTGAAATTGTAACGCATGAGTTCAAATCCCAGTCAAGGTCAACTCATACCATTCATCATTCAATCCACTCTGGCTGGCAATGAGTGTCATGTATTGTTTTCTATTTATTTACAGAATATGTGACATCTTCTCAAGATAATGTAAAGTGTAGATACAGTTTCTTGTTCATAGGATGCAGTTAGGAGCATATGGCACGGCAGACTGGCTCCTGTAGTGACTGAATTTCCACCACTGGCTCATGGCTTTCAACAGAGATGAGCACTGCCCATTGTGTGTTGTGTTCTTTGTATGCCAAGATTGTTGAGGGCCATATATGATGTTTTGTGAGTACAAAGTCCAGTTATAATCCACATTATACATTTTTTTAATGTTTTAATTACATGTTACTTCAAAAGAATGCGTGACCAGATAATGCAAATATAATTAGTACTAAAATATCCAAGTTAAGATATTGACGGTCTAGCCACTTAGGAATTGATCATTAATTTGTAAGTAAAACCTCATACAGTTGAACTTAAGTTTCAATAAAAAAATGTTAATCAATCATAATCACAATCTTTATTTATACTGGAGGAATCTAATGAGTGATCAAGTTCTTTTTCACACCTGTCCAGTAGGGGCGGGTCATAAAGTTACAACAAGAGTTCACTTGCCTCCCATAAAGTGTACACAAGCATGTACAATTTAAATATGCTGTATATTAACACCCCAGATAGCTGGACTAATAGAGAGGAGACCTGGTCCAAATAGCTTAAATTCCCAGCTACCTGCGAATGAAACAAAAATAAAACTTGCAATTCTTATTTTACATTTAAACACATGGCACAAGTGAAACTAAAGCCCTCGAAACAATTAAAATTAATACAAATGTATTTTTAATCAATTTACTCTCCTGTAAGGACGAAAAACTTCAGCAAATAAAATACAGACTACAAACCGAAAAGTAATGCACTCTTATGTATTATCTGTTCTCTTTGGTTCTTTTGGTAAAGTCACGTAAGTAGTTAAGTACTGTACTCACCACTGAGGTGATGCAGTTGTGGTGATCAGGCACAAAACTGAGTGGACAATGTGCGCTTAACTACTCTACACGGACATTGCACATGGACCATATATTGTTTTATTGGTCAGCCCCAGTCCAGATAAGTGTGAATTCCAGGTCCCCAAGTTTCAGATAGACTGGTAGTTTGCTGTATTGGATTTTAGTGAATTCAGAGGAGACAACTTTTTTGCTTTAGCTTGTATTTTGAGCATATACATTTTCATACAAAATCACATTCTGACCTGGTAAAGACCAGATATTCAAGGGCAACTGCACTGTTTTTTTTAAAGATCGATTTGCATGAAGAGAAATGCAGTATTACAGTACATTGCGTGACAGTGCATGTTTGTGTTTGATTAAGAGGGTTGGAATGTGCACTACGTCGCCATGATTTTCTGGCACTTGCCTGCAATCCAGCACTTTACAGGCAAGGCTGGTGGATCACGCAGGTTTGCGAAACTTCCAAATCTGCTGGGCTGCAAGGTGGCCAGGAGATGGCAGCAAGTTCTCCTTCAACACACAAAGTGCTCCTTAAAACTGTATTAGTCAAATACTCCAATGCAGTAAAGATGTAAAAATCTTGACACTCATTGGCTAAATAACATTCATATTACCCAAGAGGCGTGATTCAGTGATATATCTCTGTAATAGAGCATTGTTTTCCAAATGCTCATTGGTCAGTTCTATGCACTGAGATCTCGCTGTCACATCCCTGTTTCTTGCATTTTTCTGTTTCGTCTTATTTTTTACATCTGAAAACATATTGACAGTGTTATTTATTTTTCCATTACAAACACCTCCCTAAGATATTCCCGCATTTATTGTGAATAAAATTATATTCATACCATACCTTTCCTGTACGTTTTCTGCTGCTTTATTGCATTTGTGGGTTTTCCAAACCACAATGTTTGTTCCATTGTGACGGCTTGTGTTGCACATGAGTTGAGCATCGGTGAAACATAGCAATGTGCCGTGTCCCCACTTATAGCCACGCATTTCCAGTGTTGCGTCTCCACCTCTTCTACTGCAGATATCCCTGCACTTGTGTCTTTCTCCTCTTGAATCGACTTGACCCCTCCGGTCTATAATGATGCTTCCTTGATGACGTGGTTACTATGATGCATGTGAAGATAGTTTGAGACCGGCACAGAATGAGAGATGTATGGAGTGAGAGAAGCAAAGAGTGATGGTATGGAGACAAGGAGTGAGAGAAGCAGACACTTTATTGGAGATGTACGGAGTGAGAGAAGCAGAAAGAGAAATTGTATGGAGTAAGAGATGCAGATACTGCACAAAATATATATTAGGCAGATATAACATAATAGAGAAGCTTTGCAGAGCGTGACAAACTATATGAGAGCTAGTGAGAGACAAAGGGAATCAAAGTATGTATCACAGGCAATATGACATTTGCTTTTTGTCGCAGGAAATAACTTTCTCGAACGGCAAGATGTTGTATTTCCATTGCCCCTAAGAACAAAATCATGATTTTTACTGCATACAGATTCATTTACAATTGTCAAAATATGAAAGATGTTTTTACGTAACCAATGTAATGATGCCCACAAATTAGTTTCTCAGTGAAACAATGTCAAAGTGTCTGTTCGAACTTATCTTGAACTTTCCTTTTACATTCGAAAATGTCTATGGCTGTTCACTGTGATGTAAACGTTGCCTGGCCCTGTGTACTGTTTATCATTGTCACATAGTACTTCTCTCATGGAGAGAAAGAAAATGAAAGCTACATTGTTTTTTTAGGTGGTAGTCGTGCCTGCAGTCATTCTTGCATGCCTGCAGGCAATGAAGTCACTGTTCACGAAAGCAAGCCAGTATGCACCTGAGACTGCAGACATGTCAAAGCTAAAGAAAAAAAAAGTTTCGATTTAAAGCTTTCGTGACTGCAGGGATTCATCTTCTTGGTTCTTTCGGTAAAGTCACGTAGAAGGGAAGTAATAAAATAATAAAAATAAAACATAATAAAACAATTCTCACGACGTTTCGGCCACAACGCAAGCAGCCGTCCTCAGGTGAAAACCAGGTCCGTCGAGGCGACAGAGTCTGAATGAAACAGCACACGAGCTTGGAGCATATATATAAGCTGGGCGCATTGACAAAGGAATTTGTATATCAAAAGGAATTTAGCATATTTATGCACCATAAATATGCTAAATTCCTTTTGATATACAAATTCCTTTGTCAATGCGCCCAGCTTATATATATGCTCCAAGCTCGTGTGCTGTTTCATTCAGACTCTGTCGCTTAGACGGACCTGGTTTTCACCTGAGGACGGCTGCTTGCGTTGTGGCCGAAACGTCGTGAGAATTGTTTTATTATGTTTTATTTTTATTATTTTATTACTTCCCTTCTACGTGACTTTACCGAAAGAACCAAGAAGAAAAAAAAAGTGCTACCATTTAATTTAGTTTCACTTGGTAACTACACAAACGCCAATTCAGCTCATAGGAAATTAGTTATTTGGGGATAAAACTACGTTTTTGGCACATCAAGCCTGGTTTCCTGAAGTTACTGTCGACAAGTTCCTCATCTCTTGCTTGCCACCACAAGTCCTGCAACGAAATACACACTCGTGCGCACTGGGGGCAATGCACACTTACACAACAGATGCCCCACGTCGCGTCCACCCACGTGGACATCAGTAATGAAACAAGGCCTAAGCAGAAAATAAGCTTGGCGCGATCTATTCCGGCACACACAATCCCACACCTGGCCCAACAGCACAAGGAGCAACAACCAACATCAGCATGAACC